ATATAATATATATATATATATATATATATATATATATATATATATATATATATATATATATATATATATATATATATATATATATATATTATACATATTGTATATATACACATGCACACACACACACCAGGGCCAGATCCAGGGGGGGGGGGCGTACGCCCCCCTTATTTTGGCAGAGTAATGATTTTTTTAGACCAGGAATTTTTTACACATCATCAGGGAAAGACGTAGGATATAGGTAGGAAAAGTCCCAGTCAGCAATAGAAGGGATACTTGATAGAAACTTTCTATCCCGCTTAGGCTTCGTGCCTTCGGCACTCGCAATCGTCTCGGCTAGGGTTTACGCCCCCCTTTCTAACAATCCTGGATCCGGCCCTGCACACGTGTGTGTGTGTATGTGTGTGTGTGTGTGTGTGTGTGTGTGTGTGTGTGTGTGTGTGTGTGTGTGTGTGTGTGTGTGTGTGTGTGTGTGCGTGCGTGCGTGCGTGCGTGCGTGTGTGTGTGTGTGTGTGAAACTACACACAGAAAAAGTTAGTATTAACTTACATAATCATATAAGTTACTCCGTAAAAGTTATTTGCTTTTATATGTTGCCATAGAAAACGTGAAAGGTAAACTATTATTTACAGTAAGAATGGTTACCTTTAGACAAGTAAAATACAGTAGGGATACACTTTGAATTGGTGAAGTCACGGTTAGATAGAATATGTACTATATTCGAATACCGTTTTCTTCTTTGGACACACACACAAACACACATACACACACACGGACACGCACATGCACATATTAATTAATGCAAAATCTCCTTTCCTGGACACGTGCCAAGAAGCAAGGGTCTAGGACATGATTCCCAACCTTTTCCACTCTGTGGAAAAGGTTGGGAACTGAGAAAAAAAAGAAAGAAAGAAGAAAAAAAAAAAGAAAAAAAATGTATATATATATATATATATATATATATATATATATATATATATAAATATATATATATATATATATATATATATATATATATATATATATATATATATATATATATATGTATTTGTGTGTGTGTGTGTGTATTTTATATATATATATATATATATATATATATATATATATATATATATATATATATATATATATATATATATATAAATCTTACAAACTAACAGAATTAACAGATAAAAACGTACTCATGGATGATTAATGTGATTATGGTCTGATTATGGTCTACATTGTCTAGACAATCCATATTTTCTGCCTTAATATTATAGTTATCCGTTGGGTTTTCCTTAATTCCAAAATCATCTCTTATACTATCCCAAATTCATTATAATCTATTTTGTATATTTACCTTCGTTTATATATCTTAGTCAACTTCTTTCTTCCCCGTAAACACACAGTATTCGTAGTAAAATATCTGAAATTTATTGGTTAATGATTAAGACAAATAAATGTGCTAGACATCAAAGCTCACATAGCACTATGGTAAAGCATTGTGACGAATAGGGTAAGAGTGAATTAACAATTAGGATAAGAGGACAGAAGTGGATGATAAAGAGAAGGAGAAGGAAATGGAGGGAAGAAAAGACCTTGCAAAATTAGTTGAGGCTAGAGCTGAGGTTCAAGGTAGGGCTGATTCCCTCAGTCTCCGTCTCCTAAGCTCCCCCCCCACCCACGACAACAACGAGCAAGGGATTGGGGGAGATCCGAGGGAAATATCCCAGACAGATGTCCGTGATGCCTTCGAGAAATGTAAAATATTACTGTAAAATGTTTAAAATATTAGACATTATTACTTTTAAAAAAATATTATTACTGTAAAATTATTATCATCATTATGATAATCATCATTATAATCACCACCATCATCAATCAATTAATCAATGGAGTTAACGCCGACGGGGGCGCACAGCCGCATCCACCCTTTGCTTCCAGCCACAGGGGTCCCTCCAAGCAGGCCCCCTCGGCCCATCTCTAACTCCTCGTGCCATGTCTGGTCGAACTGCCCAAGCCACGACTTTCTAGGTTGTCTCACGTGCCTCCTCCAGCCAGGATTGTCTCGAGAAGAGACAACCTGATGGGCAGAGTCATCCACAGGGAAACAAGCTGGGTGCTCGTATAGCCTGAGTTGGCGATCCCGGATTATGCAAGTAACAGGTCCCATGCTCCAAAGCACTAGATAACGTCCAGGTTCCGCTTCCATAGAGCAAAACTAGTCGTATTAAGGCCTTGGAGACACGTAGCTGGCTCTTCTGCATAGATACCGACATCTCCAAATGCTGCCAGACCAATACATTTCCTTTCTTAGTCTGACAGCCCAGAGATATGGGCTGCGATACCAAAGTATGTAAAGCTCTCTGTGACTTCAACGCCTTCACCGCAAGCATGTATCGACTTAACAGGTTCTCCTAGCACGCACCCATCCGAAACGGTTGCCTCACTTTCAATAAATCTAGTTTTACATTGTGTTTTTTCTACCAAAGTTATTGCATTCAAATAAAATAGGTCAGCTCAGAGTTGTTAAGGTATGCTTGCATATTTTAATATTCTTCAAAGAATTAAAGCATTAAAAGGCTAAAGGCTAGTTATGCCACATAATTTATCCTTAGCACAGCTATCTTTCTGAATTACAATTTACTGTCAAGAAAAAGTAACACTGTGAGAGAAACTCCCATGGCCTAAGATATTTAATGAGGATGTGTTTATAGGTAGGGGGATATATTACATAATGACTGTACTATGATTTGGAAAATTTAAGAACATGGTAATACAAAGAGGAAAAAAATACCCACTGGTATTTGAAATAATCTGTACAGGCAACGAAAAATGTCTCAAATTACGAAAACTGTTCAAATGTAGAATGGAGATCAAGTCCATGGCAATCAGCAAAGAACTTGAGTTAGTAAGGTTTATGGTTTTGCCACAGTTGCTGGTTGGAGTAAACAGACTCTCTAACAGTTACCTGGTTGGGTGTTTCATGATTCTGAAACAGTTGAAGTTTTGTATTCAATCTTTTGTCCAGTATTAGTTTATTAACATTAAGTGTAAAAATGTTGAGTAAATATAACTGAATAGTATTTCCTTGAATTTCAATGGAATTTGCAGAAACTGCAGATTTTCTACTAAATAAATAGATCCATTTGCCCAGGTGCAACAATCTTAATATTTAGTGATTTAAAATTTATAGATTATACCCTGTTACAGCTACGGGTGAACTTCACGATGATAATAGTGTACTAGCAACATGTTCTTGCACGTTTTCTATCACTGTAGATAACCATACTGAAAATTTCTTTGGAGAGGCTCTAAATTTCGGACTTCAAAGATTAGTAATTAAATATTTTGACCTTTGAACAAACATACAAATTTGTAAATCTTATAATAAATATAACATGTAAGAAGTTCTTGCTACCTTATGTTGATTATACCTTATTAGTATGTCTAATTACCAGCATCATATTATTTGAGAAGCAAATACATGAGTGATTTTGGGGTCCTTCATTTTTTTCAACCAAGCACTGGGGGGAGGGCATTAATCTCACTTTTTTGAACATCAGAAAAATTATGATCCACAGATAATTGAAAATCACAAATTATTGATTGCTTCCATGTCATGCTGCTGATATCAAGACTTGAAAATGAGCAGACGAGATTTTTATTTCCAATCAAAATATCACGGAGATACATATATGTTTTCAATTTCATTTTACATTCATGAATGCTCCATGGACAAAATCCTTCATCTACAATCTGTCAAGTATCACTGCATTCCTGGAGATCTTACTGCAGTCATCATTTTTAACATTTTGTGCTGTACACTCTGGAGGGGGGTAGGGGGTCTTACGAAAAGTGCTTTTTGTATACTTGTGAAAATAATGAAAATCAATGACCCCTTATCCGAACATATGGTACATTTGTAATCTGGCACTTTAACCACAGTTCTAAGAAAACTCACAATCCACCCCCTAGCTACACCACATAGTTTGTCTCTAATGTTTCTGCTTTTGTGCAATATTTTATTGTGGCTACAGGACAGCCCAATGGTCACAGGGTTAGGAATGAGTTAATGATTAGAGTAAAGTTAAGCAGTATTAGAGGGTAGTATGGTAATGACAAGGGTAGAGAGGGGGAGCTGATGGGGTAGCATATAAGGTAAAGGAGTTGAAGGAGTAGGGAGAATTATGATAAAGTATTGTGAAGAAAATAGCAAAAATTAGTTTAATGATTAGGATAAGTGGACAGAACAAGGAAATGAAGAAAGGGAAAAGGAAAGGAGAAGAAAAGGCCATGCAAAATTAGTAGAGGCGAGGGCTGAGGACCAAGGTGGGGGTGATCGCCCACTTGTTCTTAACCCAATGTGCGCATGCTTTTTGGTGGCCATGCGGTCCATCTGTATGGGCCACATCTATAGGGATGCCACCATAGCATCATAGTAGATGCCACCCATAAACAAGGGTTTAAAAGTTGTGATGATCCTCTGTAGCACAAGATCAAGAGTAATCAAAAAGTTGCTACCATTTTCATCCAAGGATTCCACATGTATGCAGCAGACCTCCTATTCAAGCAGAATTGCAAAAACTGACAAAGCACTAACAATAATTACCAATATTTACTCAAATTACAGCAAAGCAGCAGCATTCTTCACTTAATAGTACTGTATTTAAAAGTAATTATCACAATTTTGCATTACAAAATCTTTTGATCAACAATTCTTCATTCAACATCATTTTACAACAATGTCTGCAATCAATTCTGTCTTACACAATACATTTTCTCGCATTATTTTCTTGGCAAAAACATGCATTGTAAAAGGTTAAGAATATACATATTTTTTTTCTTGCTTTATTTCTTAGGCAATAGAGCCAGCATTGGAGGCAATCCTAGGCCACAGATCAGCACACTCCTTTGCTACTGGACCAGTGATGGCTGAGCCTGGAAGAAAAGTAAAAAAAGTTCAAAGACAAATATATAAATACTACGACTTTAATGATATACTATGAAATCATTAAAAATCAGCATATTTATGCCTACAGAATAAAAGCTGATCTGATATTAGATAACCTTTTCAGAAATTTACAGAAAGTAAAATCAAAGGTCTTTCCAAAAACATGTATATATTGAAGTTCACTTCCCACTTAGGAACATGAATAATATGAAATGAAGTTACATGCCCAATCACTATGCATTACAAATATTCAATATCACTTATCAAAAATATGAAAGAATGCCCTATATCTAAATGTAAATGAATAAAAAGGTTTTACTACTTACAACACCCCTAATTAACCCAATAACAGCATCTTAAATTTCATCTAAAGAATTTCTTGCAAGCATTTAATTAGTTTTTGACTTTAGTATCCAAGTCTGGATCACCTACCCCCCTCCCCCAAGAAAAGAAAAAAAAATTGTATAAATATAATTATCAGAATAACTATCGACCAGAAATTCAATACATACCTTTCATTTCTCCTTTATTATTTACTATAACTCCCGCATTATCTTCAAAGTATATGAAGACACCATCCTTCCTGCGGTACGGTTTCCTCTGCCTGACTACTACTGCAGGATGCACTGTGGAGAGAGGGATATTATTTAGCATGTTTTTTTGTAAATTCTCAGACACAAATTAAGAGAAAATACCAAGATATATATTATTTACCTTTCCATCATACTGTTCTGTATAATGAGTATATCTAAAAACATAACATTTTAGGTTCAGGTACATGTTTACAAAAGGACCATGTGAAAAAATCACATGCAAGTTGTCTTGAACACACTAATACAAATATGAAGTTTGTAGAAAGTAAAGGCAAGACCACAACTACCCGGTACTCATCCAAGTCCATGAATACAGACTTCCACAGCCAATTCTACTGATGTGGTGTTGTATCGGTTTTGTGCTCCAGGAAAAGCAAACAAATCTCCATGGGCATTCTGGTAAGATAGTGCCAGGGATGTCTAAGCTCTATCATTTAAAAGAACCATTCCAGGCTCTATTTTACCAAATGCAGATAGAGCATGTTTGTTTTCTTGTGCCAGACCACATAAAAGGTCATAGAATTGGCTTACGTGGTCTACTTTTGAATAATAACTATTTTTACCTTTCTTCCTCAATTCAGGCTTTCCCTTCTTGACAGTGGCAGCAACAATATCACCGACAGCAGCAGCTGGCAGACGGTTGAGACGACCCCTAATACCAGATACGGAGATGATGTACAAGTTCTTGGCTCCTGAAATTCAAGACAGACCATGAAACAATTTTGTAAGAGTTCAAATACCTTAGGTTTAACCCAATGGCGCCGGGTGTACAAAAAACTACACTTAAGCAAACAAAGGCGGCGCGCCGACTTTGAGCGCATGAGTAGGGGACATCAGCCCGAATCACTGGCTCGCCGCGCTGTAGCGCGCCGCTGGCTCGTTTGGCTGCACACCAGCTTTCGAGCGTTTTGTTTGCACGCCGATTGGCGTCACCCGGCACCAAGGGGTTAAAGTTCAAAATATTGTTCAACTCCACAATGCAACCAGAACTTAATGAATTCAACTATTCCATTGAAAAAGCACAAACTTAACCAATTCCTCAAGAACATGTTAAATTGAAAAACGTACCTGTGTTGTCAGCGCAGTTCATGACTGCCCCGACGGGGAGTCCCACAGAAATGCGGAACTTTCCTCCCGCGGTACCTCCACGTCCTGTACAAGATATTAAACATTAGGAATACTCAAATTGCACTTAATATTTAAAAACATTCCAAACATACAACATCCATGCTTCCTACTTTATACAATCAAACATTAAAAACCAAAATTATAAATTATTCTTTACATTAAACCATACTGAAGTGGTGGATTTCCCTTTCTATTTAATAAACTATTACTAGTCAATATATACAATCAAGAGTATTCTTATCATTTGTGACCATTATAAAAATGCAAGTGGAGCAAAACTAATCAAAGTACTGCAGGCCAAGAATCACTTATCAAAACCGTATAGTCCTTGCATTATGCAATGCTGTAGTCTTTGCAATCCCTGCTCAAATATTGGTCAACAAAGCACCACGTATATCTTTGAAAAAATAGGGTTTATGGGTCGTTCTGGTAATTTATCATCAAATAAGGAATCAGTCTAAACTATCTTATCATACTATAAAAGCTCTAAAGTTACTAAAGATAGCTGGCTAATATTGCCTGATATGGTTCTATTTCTTAATTCACAATGGCAATTATACTTCAAAGGAGTTCCCAATAATTCTATACAAGGTACACATTCATAATAAGTCTAGTGAAAATGCATTGCATCAAGTACTGCCTGGCCAATTGTATAGCCATTAGAAAGCACATGATCTGCCGGGTACAGCTATACAGGTTGGTGATACACTAGATTGCATCGAGCAGGAAGTTCTGCTACATATAGCAGAATCCCAATCCCAGCGGCAGGACGGTTGCCAGAAATCATTGAAGTCTGACGCCGAGAAATTTCTAATACCGTAACTGATGAAGATCTTTTAGACATCTTTGGCAATTTATCACTAAATGAGGAATCTACAAGCTGTGCCTCCATTTGCCAAAAATACACTAATATAACAATGGTTTAATCTCTAACAGTCATCTAACTTTTGACAACACAAGGTTATTTATACGAGTTATATCCCCAATGAAATAAAATTGATAACTATTTTCATATTAGCATATTAGCTACTTTCAATCTACATTGTCCTTAATACGGATCATGCCTTACCCAGCAAATGGAGGTCAAGATCATTTTCTTCTTAGGTTTCTAGGTTTCTGGAGAAACTATATTTAGACAAGTGCTATTCCCCAATACAATATTTAATAAAATTACCAACCATCCAATTAACCTTCCCAGCATCCAAAATCAAACCTGTTCCATAAAATAACAGACCAACTATCTAAATGTTGTCTATGGTATACATTTACACTTAAACCTATTGGTGGTGGATATATATGTACTTTACATTTTTTTTTGTTTTTCGTGAATTTTGTTTACAATCACCTTGGGGCTATCACTCACTAATCCTATTATCATTCTTTCCACACAAATTTTGAGTCTATGCATGCAGAATGCCTATATGAAGATGGTAACTTTTTTTTTTTTTTTTTTTTTTTTTTTTTTTTTTGAGCCTGTGCTAGAGGATTTATATTAGTGTAGATGGTTTTATTTACAACAAAGTTTAAACAAGTGTTCAGTATACCTATACACACCCTATCAACAGTATTGTTACCAATAGAGTCCTCTCACACTATACCACTTGCAAGTAGTAATTAGGTCAGGGAAACCCCTCATTATGTAACAAACTTATCCTCAATATGAGAGGGCACGAATATTACCTTGGCAATAGCAGGATATAGGAGTTACAACATTTATACAAAATAAGCTATACTATATCCAATGCAGGACCATCGTACTAACCCTCTGTAAAACCACCCTCAATGTATGGCTATACAGGCCTACCACCAATATGTAAAATGAAGTACAATATATATTATAAGGTTACCAGGGAAATTACAAGATAAAACATGAAATCAAAAGTAGGTTGCAATCATTCGATGAAAGGAGCAGTGATCCCTGCAATCTAAAGGAAGTTATTGCCCCTCACCCTTGCCCTAGATACACAAGGCTACCTGCATTATATAATATAAGCATACATGCCTACTCCATGACTGGTTAAGCTTCATCCTCCTCAGACATGTGGTATCTACTCAAGGGAAGGGGTTCTGGGGCAGCAGAAGCTTATTAGCTACATTTAAGTATTCTAAACATTGCCCTAAAAAACACCTAATAGCACAAGGTCTTCCTAGTATATCTAAATGTAATATCTATCATGATGCTCATGTGCTTCCTAGGAACCGAGTTGTTTACAAGAGCAGTACCTCTCTGCAAGATAAAACCATTTGCACAAGAGAAGTACGGAAGAATTACAATTACAATCTGTGCTCACCTAACCTCACCCGTTTACCCCACTCCTTAAACTTATGGGAAGTTTTTATCTCTGACTACCATTAATACATTAATATTGTCAAAATAATGGTATGTAAACTATAAACTCAAAATCAAAAAAAAAAAATCATGTGATAGTGCCCTTCAAAAGCACATGAGGCCACTTAAATATTAAACTTAAAATTCATAACTCCAGTGAACAATGTGGATATGCCCTCAACAGCTACAGGTAATCCACCTTTCTACAAAAGAGAAACCTTAATTATTCCAAGCACCATAAATAAGAGGTTTCATTGGCCATTTACCAGAGTTCCCTGCACCAGAGCTAATCTGAATCTGGGCACTACAGCAAATATGTAACCTGTCTTATTTTTTAATAATTGATGAGTTTTTAATCCTTTTGATTATATATAAAATGTCAAGGAAAAGCGAGCCTGCATGCACGTTACTGAACATGGTTCTTATTATAGGATTTCTACGAATTTAATTTAGCACTTCTGGCATTTGCTCGAAAACAAAAAAAGCAGGTTGGCTGGCTTAAACGTATCAAAATAAGACGCAAGTATCAGTACCAAAGATATAGTGTACAATTCCTTGCACTACAGGACAGCCTTTCCATCAGACGAAAGGGCCACACGAGCCCGACAATGTGCACTTCATTTCAACCTCCCGATATTTTACGGACAGTGAAATAGGCTGATAGATTACTTTTGGTTTGTTGTATGACAATGGTTCTACGATATACGACTTGTGAGGCTCTAGGCAAATGGCCCTAAGATATACACTCTTTGAAAATGAACATTATCAAAACACTTTCGAGTACGAGTGCGACATTGTCCACCCGGTAGAAACAAAACTCAAGTTTCTCATTAATATTGCGAATATCAAGCGCAAAATGGTTTCTAATGCATATTTCACATCTTCAATCTCACATTTCCACTCATGGCACATTATCCAGGCACTCGATGACGGATATATAAGTCGATAAAAACCCAAGACTCAGAACGCACCTCTCTTCGACATTGTGGTGGGGTGATGAAGAACTGACGAGAGCGCATGCGCGGCGCAGATTATTTGTGTTGCTCTCGCTCTACGGGATCACTATTCTGCGAACTCCTCGGAAGACTCTTTATCCTCACTTGTATTCAAATATATATGTTTTTATGGCTCTTTTCGTCTTTCTTTGGTATATTGGAGATAATAATATGAATGAGAGTTTATATATGAAGCACTAGTTTGAACGGAGGACGAAGACTCTACGCGAGTGCAAAGCCATTTTTGTGTTGTTTTTACTTTACGGGATCACTATTCCGTACCTATCCCAAAACATTCAATACATGCATTTATAATCTCCTATTTCTACTGTAATAACTTCATTATTCACTACATGATAAGTCCAAGAGCCAATGGGGGCGCAATAGACGGCGCAAGTGAAGTACTAGTTTGGACGGAGGACGGAGACTCTACGCGAAGTGCACGGCCATTTTAGTGCGTTTGTGTTGATGCTGAGAGGAGGCAGTGGCAGGTAACGTTGCTTCATTTTGGCGTGTTGTTTTAAGTTTCCACCTTCTCCAGTGGGTATACTGCTTTATCCCCGATGCCCAAATCATTCGGCAAGGGTCGGGAGAGCGTTCAATCGCGTGCAGACGAGGAAATTTGAAAATGAAATCGCGCTCCCGTTATAGTCTACGTGGAGTACACGGCCATTTTTGTGAGGGACTTTTTGGACTTTTCTGCGCGCCAATTGCTTTATTGCTGGGCCTTTGGCCTCTCACTGTGGGCCTCAAACCCTCATCTAATCACCCCAAGACAAGAATTAGAGTGTGGGGGAAGGCCAAATAAAGCTTGTTTCTGAGTTACAAGCCACAGGGGAGGGGGAGGGGAGGGGGCGGGTCCCGGGCGGACGCGGTGCACCTGTAGCGCCAGCCGAGCCCCCCCCCTCCCCTGGCTGCCTTTTCGCATGGCTTGTCTCTATTTTGCATGTGTGTTGTCTCTGGCCCCCTTGCCTCTTGCTCTGGCCCCTCGCCGCCGCAAGTACCTTCAGTACTTTCGTGGTTATTGTGCCGGAACTGCACCTGTCCTCTCCAGGTTTCTAATGTGACACTTGAGGCTGGCTTAGTCCTTCCTTCAAATGCAAATACAGGTGCACGCTTCAGGGGTCTTCTTTGGATTTATATTTGTTTTGTATTATTCATATTACCTTCTGTATATTATGGAGAATTTAATTTGATATATACCAGTGTTTATTTGATACTTAGATTTTATATTTACATAATGAACTTCATTCAGATATATTCACATTGTACAAGCATAATTCTTTAGTATATTTTGTTAGACTTAATTTTCTTACTCACCTTTGAGATCATTTATATTGAAAAGATTTATCTAATTAATTTTATTTTTCAGAAAGAACTAGAAGATGGCTCCCCGAGGCAAAAAGAAAGAATCGTCCTCCCCTCGGAAACAGCTGAACATCAGGGGATTCTTCAAGCCCTCGGCAAAGCGGGAGAGAGACCAGGAGGAGAGTTCAAGTAAAGAGGCAAAGGCAGTCGAATCCCCTAAAAAGAGGTCAAGGCAGTCCAAACAGAGTACAAACAACAACAACAACAATGCCGAAAAGGATATTCCTGCCAACAACAACAACAATAATAACAACAATAACAATGAGAAGCCATCGACCCCAGAAAAGAAGGGCAAAGGTTCAGCCGCCCAAGAGAAGCCAGCCACCTCGAAGAGGAAGAAGCAGCCGCCGCCAGTCGTGGAGGAGGAGGAATCGGATCCCCTGTACATCGCAGACGTGGATGGCAGCGACGACCTGGCAGGCTCTGACAAGGAGGACGACCCAGAGCCCGTGCTCAGCATTGCCGACTCTCCCAGCAAAGAGACCTTCATCCTGACCCCTCAGAGCCCTGTGCAGAAGGTACGGCCCTGCCCTATGCGTTTTGCACATTTGGTCAATTTATTCAACTTTTGTTCATACTCTCGTGTATTCATGGGTGGATAGCGTAACTCTTGTGGACAATGGCGCTTGTATGGCATCGTTGCAGGAACCTGATCCCTCCTGTAGCATGATCCTGTAAGTTCGCCGGGTTGATCAAGGGAAACCAGCCATAAAATGGAACACTAGTTTGGCAGATGCTTTTGGGCAAGGGATATTTTATTAGTGATTGCAAGATCTGTCTTCTCTCTTGGGTTAATTTGGGAAGTGCACAGAGGATGTTATGGCCTCTGCCTGCTCTCTTCTTCATTTTATAAATGCTCTTTAGTCAGAATTGAGAGTCTTTAAGCACAGTATAGTAATTTACCATACCATTGCTGGTTGTAAATAGCAGCAACCAGTGTCATCTACACCACTTCAGGCTGGACAATGTTTTATTTAATTTAGTGCACCAAGAACCCAAATGCACATCTTTTATTTTGAAATCTCTTTTTTTTTATAATTAATAAAAATAGAGATTAAAGTACAAATTCATTTATAGGACTGACTACCATTAACAAGGCAACTATTCTGTAACCTACTTAAGAATTAGCTTTTTAGTATACAAAATATTTTTTTTTATTGTCATGAATATTGGTATTGATAGTATTAGCAATATATTAGTTTTACCAATATTGTTATAATCATTATATTATTAATATATTACTGAATAATTGATTACTCCTTGGTTAGCTATTCCTAATTTTATTATATTTTTATGAATAATGTTATTAATTTGTATTAATTCCCTTCCCCTTATGAGGATTAGGATTAAATAATATAACAATCTTCTCTAGGCTATATTCTTTGTCAATCTGATTTTATATAACTAATCCTGTATAAAGTTGCTAGATGCAGAAATAATTATTTTAGTCTGGCAGAGAGTGAGGAAAGGAAAGTCCTTTTTCAGAACAAGAAAAATAAATAATATAGAGCTGTGGCAGAATACCCATCATTGATTGTAATATTTTGATATTGTTCATTGCAGGAACAAACAGTGCGATTCAAGTGTAAGGTTTGTGACCAGTGGTTCCCAAATCGTTACTTCCAACGCAAGCACATGTTGATGGAGCACGAAGACCAGAGATATGAATGCCGTGTCTGCAGCTTTAATTCCGTTGATCCTGAGAAGCTGAAGAGCCATATCATCAAACAGCACGTTACTAAGAAGGAACGGAGTGAGTCTGTGTCGCTGGATGCTGTGCAGGTGGACTTGGATGAACTCATGACGAAGCACACTCCCCGAAAAGTGATGATGGAAGATGGGGTTGCTCTCGGTAGGGATGCCAGCAACAAAATGCGCTTCATCTGTGCAATGTGTGAGAGAATTTACACCAGTAAGTACTCTCTTGAACGTCACGTCCGGTGTCACACCGGCGAGAAGCCCTACACGTGTGATGTTTGCAACTTTTCAACTAGCTATCGTGAACACATGCAGCGCCATATGACTAGCGTACATCTTATTGTACATTCAGACGAACCAAAACAAAAGTATGTGCCGAAGAATAGGAGGAAGACTGAAGATAAGACGGTCCCACCTGAAGAAGACCCAGAAGAGAAAGAAGGAGTATCAAGCAATGATCCCAATGGGAGTTTTAACAGTAATGATGGAAGCGTGTCCTCAAATGACACTACTTCATCTGCTGGAAAGAAAAGACGGAACATTCTGCGCAAACGCTTTGAGTGTGCTGCATGTGGATTAAAGGCCACACACAAAACAGATTTGGTCAATCATATCAAAGAGAAGCATCCAAAGGCCCATATCGAGTCCTTGAGGAATGGAGATGGTTCCAAAGTTCATCTTATTGTCACAGTGTCTAAGAAGCCGGTGACTTCACGCAGGATGGTGATAACCTGCCCAGACTGCTCAAAAGTGTTCCACGACACTTGGAAGTATAAGGTCCATATGCGGTCACACACAGGTGTTAAACCCTTTGGCTGCAGTGTGTGTTCATTCTATGCAACCAGTAAGATGACTGTCCGTGACCACATCCATCGCAAACACAAGGATGTCCAAAATCCAAAGATTTTGTTGCGTACTGTTTGCATTGATGGCACTGTGGACCACGTAGAACTGACAATGCCTCAGAGGGAATTTAAGTGTGAGTTTTGTGATGAAGTCTTCCAAGATAACTATCACATGAAGCAACACAAGAAGAAGAGCCACACTGAAGCCCTTCCATTTTCTTGTGTGGATTGTGGGCATAGGGAATGGGCTCGTGCAAACATCATCATCCACTGCATGCAAAAACACCCGGACGTAGAACTGGATGCATTGGTTTTGCGCAATGGCAAACCTTTAACTGTAGGGCTTCATAAGCTACCAAAGTGTGACCAGTGTGACAAAATATTCCCATATCAGTCACAGCTGTACATCCATCAGAAACAGCACACAGGAGAACGCAGTTATTTCTGTGACATATGTAACTACAGCACTAATCACAAGACAGCTCTCAGCAGGCACATCCACAAGCACTTGGAGGGTGAAGATGAGCCTCCAAAGAAAACAGGGGGACGTAAAAAGGGAGCCAAAGCTTCTAGCAAGAGTAAAGATAATGACACCCCCATCAATTTTGTAAATGTTAGTGAGCCTCAACCGCATGAGGTGAAGCGTGAGGCGGTTAAGGCAGAAAAACGGTGCTGAGTATTGAAGTGCCTTCCACTCAGAAGTCCTTGTGCCTTACATTGGGACCATACCTGAAAACATGTACTGGAAATTGTCTTCCTGAAGATTGTCCAGGATCTTAGGTTTAAATGTAGGATATATTGCCTGAACCAGTAGAATGTTGGTGCTTGAATGTATTTGTATTGTTGATATCGGCTTGTTGTTTAGAATTTTGCCAGGTTGAGATAATATTTTAATAGGAATCTCTAAGAAGGTAGGAAATAAGAATTTTAAGGTATTTTGATAGTATTTTTCATAGAAGGATTAATTTATGAATGTTGAGCATTGTCTAAACACATTTATATTTTATGAACAAAATGTTGAAATAATCTGTTATGATGAATTTCCTTCAAAAGGATAGTTTGATGGCTTTAATGTTAAGGAAAGTTTATGTCTTTGTTAATTTTTGGTATAAAGTTTTTGTGACTACCACCTGTACACAAAATATGCATACTCTGTTTTTGGTTAACTTTTGATGATGATGATGATGAGGATGATATTAGATTAGCTGACCCGCCCGTAGGTTTGTTTTGTCATTGAATATATTAACCTTGTTCTTATTGATAATCTTGTGCCCTATTTCTCTCCTTGATTTTTGAAGTATGCTAGATTGTGTAATAGTATGTTGTAAGAGTATGGAATGTGAAAATTGGAAGTTTGTTTGAATGTTTACTACATGCATTGTTAATTTGCATAAGTGTATGTAGTTGGATTCTTATTATTTACTTTATTCTAATTAAGGAACGTTCACTGGTAATTATAGCGACCTGTTGTCTTCCTGTTCGAGGAAAATGTGCCTTCCCATATGTGCCTTACAAGGAGTATATACATTGGAGAGATTACAATTTGTTTTCTCTTTTTACACAGTTAAAAGTATTTTATATATTTTAGTTATAACAACGTGTAGCAATATTTACGAAATTAGAGTGCTTTGCCCCATGTAGCGGTAATATTTTGTCAGTACCGGTAATGCTACATTTGTATTATGTGTTTGCTTTTGTTAATTTTAGCCTAACATTTATGGCATATGTTAAATGCAGTTGATATGTATACATTATTTTGGCATAAACAAAGTTAAAGTGGATGTGATAATTGTCATTAATCACAACATTTCAGATTTTAGATAAAATGTGCCTGAATGATTATACATTGTTGCTCATAATGTAGAGTGAAGTACATTTTAGATTAAAGACTCTATTTTGAA